ATATCTCTAAAAAAGTTTGAATCAAAAAGAAAACTGAATTAATTAAAACATGTTGCCATAATTAATTTTCAAAATATCAACAAAAGAAGAAATCTTAATTGTGGTAATTGTGAAAAACAAAAACAAATACATAGAAAAATTCAATATATTTGTATAATATAAACTCAAAAATGTTTTCTGTGAAAAAGTGAATTGCTTTAATAAAACAAAATGTATAAAATGGTGAGAATAAAGATCAATTTATAGCAAATAGATTTTGTTTAAAAATATGTCTAAATCTATGAATCACCTACCCACACTTCCTTCGCAGGGTGAGCATTTCGCTTTATCATCTTGCAAGAAGAAGAAGAAGAAGAAGAATATTCATTAACTTTTTCTTGTTGATATTTAAATTCAGTTTTATTGTGATAGGAATTGATATTATTTACAAAAGGACTAATGTAATAACAAATCTTTAGAAAGTGTGAGTTGTTAAAAAATTGTTTTAAATGTAGTGAAAGCAAAAATGTAATTGGTTTGATTTCTGTTATTCTTTTTAAAGAGTTAAAAAATAATTAAATATTGAAAAGCTTTATAAAGTTTAAAAAAATAAATGTTATACAATTTGTTATAGAATATATCATTTAAATTATATTATGCATTATTGATATTATTATTATTAAATATTAGAGGAAGCTTTATTCAAAAAAAAATAATAATAATGTTTCTGAAAGTATTAAAAATAAAAGAAAACATTTAAAATAAAAGTAAAATAATCAATAAATACATAAATTTTAGGAGTAATTTTATCTATAAATAAATAAATAAATAAATAGAAATAAACTTTTTATTTTTCTATCATTAATTGCAAAGATTAACAGCAATAAAAAGATTAATTTGACTTGAAAAAATCATTTGAAACCTTAACATCAAGCTATTAAATTAAGAAATAAAAATAAAAGTAAATTAATTATTAATAAAATAATATGCACAAAAATAAACTAAAAAAAATTTTCTTCTATATTTTATATAGAATATTTTTTTTTTAGTTTAAATTGATTAGTAAGAATTGCATAAAAACTGCATTAATCTTTTATTTTTAAAAATTAAATTATAAAATTGGAATTTTCAAAATGAGTCTATAAATTTTAATCATTCTATTGAAAATTCTGATACCAAATTATAATTGAAAATCTTGTTGAAAAATCAATTTCACTACTTTTCTTATTTTTATGGAAAAATATCTTTCTTCACTATTTTTCTTAATTAATAAAATAATGGCAATGTTTAGTTATATCATTTTCAGTATTTATATTCCATAATTCTATGAAATAATTAATATTAGTAAAAACACTTATGAATTCAAAATTTGTATATATAAACACACACACACACACAAATTCTCACAGCTAACTATTAAATTCTGTGGCAAATTATCCTAAAGAACAAAATACAAGTAATTAATTGTATATTAAATTTCATTTATTATATATTCAATGAACTTTAATATGATTAAAACTAAGTAAAATTAGAGCTTCTTAATGAAGATTTGCATGATTTCTGTAACTATTAGTTATTGGAATTTTGTTTCAAAGTATTCACTTAATTATAATTATTATATTTACTTGCAAATATCAGTTCAGAAAACTATATAACCTATATTTCATATTATTATTTTTTAAGATAAAATAAAGCAGTTAAACTCACTAAGTGAACTTTTACTATATTATAGTAATATGTGTTTGTATGATATATTAAGTTGATGAGAAAGTAATTTCATTTTTGAAGTTAGGATTAGAGTTTAAATTAGGTATTATGCCTGATAAATTTATACAATAATTATTGCTAATACATGATTTACTGTCCAATATGCATCATCTAATAAAATTCAACAATGCAGAATGAACCACTTTATGATAGAAATACTGGCTTTTGATAAAGTGTTTTTGATTTATTCCACTTTAAGTTTAAAAAAAAGGTGTAATTGCAACAAATTTTTTGAAAGTATTTGTGATGTGGTTAGGAATAAATTACATATGCCAACTTTGATTTCAATTTAATTGATAAACTATGTTCTGGCAGACCATTGGTGATTGATGATGATATTTTAAAGAAAATAGTTATATATAAAATTCATAGTGAACAAACAAAATTATTGTGACATCATCACAATGCTGGGCTGCAATTTTTAATCATATTTTTAATTAACTTAATTTAAAATATATGCTCTCCACCTCAAATTAGTAGTGTCTTGCCCTGTACATCATACTTTTCCTAATAACAACAGTGTCATGCCAATCATCTATCTGATTCAGTTTGGGTGAAAATTTTTGAACTGAAATCATAGGGTCAGTTAGCATGAGTCATCCTGAACAAGTTGAGACAGGTATGCCAACTGAGGCAGACCCGAAGGAAAGTTACTGACCCAGCTCCAAATTGGACAGCCTTGGATCTCGAAGTTGGATAAAAGGCAACTTGACTGAGTGAACAAGACAGAAAAGCAAGATTTTAGACTATGTTGTTGGTAGCAATCAAGAAGTATTGCTGTATATATTGTAAATAGTTGTATAATAAATGGATTTGATCCAAGTTAAATGAGTCATAAAGTGTTCCTTCTGACAGACCACAAATCCGGAAATCGGATGGTACAAATCAGAAATTTACTGCATTATTTTAAATTGCTATATACAAAAACAATATTTTACATTGTAAGAATTCCTGAGTTTCTGAACTGAATGAAAGCAATTTAAGCTAAAATCCTGTAACTGTGGATCCTATAATTTTATACATTTCAATTAAAAAATACTTTTAATAATCAAACTTTTCTGCAAGTTCTTTGAATCAATAATAATATATTTATAATGATTTTATTATAAACTGTCTCAATAATTTTTACTTATGAACTTTCAAAACAAAAATTCATAAAATTCAATGTATGATTTTTTATGAATATTATATAAATGTATCAAACAGACTGAAGTAACAATGATAATGTAATATATATAATAATAAAGTTTTTAATTGATTTTCAATGATATATCAATTTATCAAAATATACGAGCAAATAATTTTTCATAGCCTATTCTTATATCAAATAAATAAAGTAATTGATCATTTATATTATTTTAATCTCTAAAGCCTTTATATTAAATTTACAAATTAAACTATGTTGTCATATAATTAGCAAAAGTGTGTATTAATGCATTATTTCTAGTACTTTAATCATGGGTTCAAATCCCATCTTAGACAAAAATGTTTTCACTTGTCAGATTTTAATGGGAGTTTTGTTTAGAAGAATACTGTAACTACTGTGGTTTGTAAATTTACATATATTCAAGATTTAAAAGTTAATTTATATAAATTTTTCTAATGAGATAAAAATTATTAATTAATCAAATAAATGTAAATAGAATATTTTAATACTTATTCTAAATTGAAAATAAAAATGGATTAATTGGCTTTTTAAAATAAAGAACTGCTTACAGAAATATATTGCAACAGATTCTGAATTTTCTATTAATGCTTTCAAAGCATCTCCTTCAAATTCTTCAATTCTTTCACTGCGGGGATCTTTTTGTGAAACTAGCCAGTCTAACACTTTCTCTTCCTCTTTCAAATCTCCTGTTTATTTCAATATTAAATAGAAAGATTCAATTAATATAACATCTCAGATAAATAATATAACAATTAATATAAAATCTGTTATGATTTTAAGATTATAAATTAAAAACATTTAGTTTTTCATTTTACTAATGAGCATTTTAATTATAACTCATTATAGTAGAAATTTGATTTAGTTAGATCAATATTTTCATAAACTTCAGAGTAATTTATAATGTATCAGCAGCTAATAATGCCTAAGTATAGAGAAATCATATCATATCTAATTATAAAAAACTAAAAACAATTCTAAAACATATCTTTAACAAATGTATGTTTTCCAAATGCAAAACATAGCAATCAATAACAACCAGTCAATCAGTATCAACTATAGTCTTATTTGCACTCTGTGCAAGAAGTTTTGGATGCCCTGAGCTTGCTAATCAATGTATAAATAGTGTAAATTTTGTGCCCATTGTGCAGCCATACATTTGGTCATACTTTGGTCCGACACTGATGACAACTCCTACCCTCTACTAGTCAGTGTAGAGTTAAACTTAACCTATTTGCACATAACACTGAGGAACATTTGGCATTGTGTAAGTTGAAATGAAACAATGTAATCTACAGACTTACACAAAAAGACTGCTTTTCCTTTGACACTCTTCAAATGAATTAATTAATTACTTACTAAATAAAGACTTTCACTCCTCAGTGCACCCTTATTTTTTGTTTTATTTATTTATTTTCTTGAATGCTGACATAGCAACAATACATTACACTATCTGGAACCTGTGACTGGTGCTTGACGCATATATATTGTATATAGCTTGACAAATGTGTCGAGCACTGGTCACAGGTTCCAGATAGTGTAACAATGATTTCACCCCGGTGCTGAAAGTAGAACAGTTCCTATACTTTATAGCAACAATAATTAATTTCAATAATTACTATTGCACCTGCGCTTTGTTAATACTCATGTCTCCCAAATATCATTGTAAATTTATCTGCATTTAAGGAAATGCACATACATTAAAACATTAGACAGATTTTATGCATTTTTTTGCAGCCTACAATGAGGTAGAGTAAAGCTAGGTTAGACGATATTTAAAAGCTTTCAAAAATCCAGTTGCTAACTATGCCATACTTTATGCCATTATCCAATAAAATCATATTTTTCTTATTGTTTGAGGCTGTGATTAATCATGTTCGTTTATTTAAAAATTTTAGTTTGTTAGAAATCAATAAAGATAGTAAAAGACAGCACAAAGCTGCCATAAAGTTTATTGTCAACAAAAATACATGTACTTACTTAAAAATTTAAAATAGACTGTAAAGACTATTCCAGGTGGGCTTAAAAATTTGGAGGAATAGATTAATGCTTTTTTGATTACAAAAGTAGTGAAAGTACTTTTAATTATTTATTCAGCTTAGTCAATTTATAATGCTGTATTTGTATAAATTTCTTATGTTCTTCTGATTACAATGTACAAGCTTCATCATATTGTTAAATATGAAAATTAATAGATCAAAAGAATTTATAAAGGAAAAATTCTATGAGAATAAAGATAAAATAATGAACTGGCAAAATTAAATATATGCCCCAATAAAAACTTCTAATGTTAAAAGTTAAACTTAGAAATAATTAATAAGTTTCTTTAGAAACCAAATATTTTTGTTATTGTTAAAATTCACAATAATATGCAGAATGATAATTTTAAAATAAATTCAATATGAACAAAGAAAAAACAAAGCACAACTTCATGATATGTAAAAGAACTTTAAGGCTAAATCCTCTTTTATAAACAATAGAATATGAAGATCTTTATATCAAGTTTCTTCTATATTTTAAATCCAAATGAGTTTTTGTCAGTAATTTTACCTTTCTCTAAATTTATCACTTATTTACTGATTGGGATAATTTAATAATTTGTTGTTTATGTTATAATTAAATTAAATTATATCAAATCTAAAAATATTTCAAAATGACAGAGATACATTAAATATAGAATAATCAGATGTTGAGCATATTAACTGCTGTATATGGGTTAATATCATAGTTGGCAATCTGTCACTAGACATCACCTACATTCTTAAAACACACTCTTGCCTGTAGTGCTAGAATGAGCATATTCCTAACAAATAGATGTAAATAACATAGTTAACATCAAAAATAAAACAAAAATAAACTATGGTGCCAGACAAGAAAACATTTTTATGAGTTTTAATGACCCTGTTTCAATTATTCTGTATTATATTTCTATGGATAAATAATGGATTTATTATTGATATTTTGTTGAAACACTTATCTGCACTAAGCTTCTCATTTTTTTGCTTTTGTGTATACTCAACACATCTTGATATAGCTTCTAAATAGTAATTAAATAAAAGGAAAATGACAATGATTTTATAAGTATGTTCAATTAATATGTTGACTGTCACATATGTCTTTTGGTGAATTACTCTCCAATGCCATTCTTAATCTGTCATCATATGCAGGTGTTTTTACATTATCACATTCAAAAGATGGCAATTTTCTGCTGATTTACATGCATAATTATATTGCACATAATTGCCATTCTTCAAATTTGACAATTCTGAAAAATCCTCTAATGTGTCTTCTCTCATATGCTAAAAATTTCAACATCAAGCATTGTTTACTTTACAAGATATTGTTTCATTTACAGAACAATGTCCTTAACCAGGATCTCATAGGGAACCTTTCAATCTTTGTGACAGCATGGGATGTGAAATTAATTCAGCTAGAAATAAATGACCTGTGAGGGCTGAGATGTTTCCCAGGACTAGAAAATGATTTTTCTGTATTTTTTGTGCTTAGAATAAAGCTGTGAAATCATTTAAATTATAGAAGGCCATAGGGTCCTAGGCTATCTAACATGTTAAAAACAAGCATTTAAGGTCATAGCAACTTGCAGACTGCCATGTAATTACATCATGCATAGATTACAAACATCCATGATGTCATGCCTACTTCTTGAGGCAATTATGAGAGACCTCCTTGACATCATTTTTGATAATGTTGGGTAACCAAAAGTAATGTTGGAGACTTGCTGATTGCATATAATGCAAAAAAATTGCTGATTGCAATATAATGCAAGGGTTAAGTAGGCGTTATATGTAATAATCAATTTATTACATTTATTCTGTAGCCAAACCTATAATAAAAACCTATTTTTACCAAAAATACCTATTTTATGGTGGCTCAGAAATTCTTAAAATAGACTAACTAGATAACTCAATTAGTGAGTTAATTCAGATAAGACTAAACATGATTAGAGATTATAATAATAGAATGTCTGGCATAGATCAATCAGATCAAATGCTTTCTTATTATTCAATGCTAAGAAAAACCATTAGATGGCTGAAAAAATTCCATTACATAATCTAGAAATAATTATATCAGTATACAGTGCATACATCCCTTTTCATCAAACAACTGCTTTCAACCATAAAAGTCTGACATTCAGAGAAAAACTTATTGGATATTTAATATTTAAATTATTTTTCTAAAATCTAATTATTCAAATTTATGACAAGACAAAAAATATTATAAAGAAATTTATTTACTTATTTATTACCTGTGAACACACTAGGTTGTTTTTCTCCTTTTTTAAATAATAATAATCCAGGCAAATTATTTACTCCAAATTTTTTTGCAAGATGTGCATCATCTATCTTAAGAAATTTAATTCCAGCAGCATCAGCTTCATCATCAATTTTTTCTAATCTTTCTAATACTTTATTGCACTGCTTGCAGCTTTTTGTGCTATCTAAAGAAGAAGGAAATGGATTTAAAAGACAATTATTCAAACATATTTATATAAAAAACAAGGTAATAGAATTAATAATAATTTAGAAAGAAGAATTCACTAATCATGGAATAGCATTATTTATAGAAGGAGTAACGTGTAAAAAGATATTTAAAGAGGAAGTAAAATAGGAAAATATTATAGAAAAAGGAAGTACATCCTATAGAGAAAAAATAACCATGCTAGATAAGTGAGTAAAACAATTTTAAGAAAAACTTTAAACATAAAACAGATTTTATCCTTTTATACAAACATATTTTTAAAAAAAACATTATGTTAAGAACTCTTTTATGAATACTTTATGTCTGTATTGGTGTATTAATAATAGACAATAAAGAACCTGTAGGTAATTTTATACATTTTAAATATCATTGTTGGGTACAATATAGTTGTTTTTTAAAACTTTGTTATAGAATATTATTGTGAACCTGCTGAAGAGGGCCTTCAGGTCCGAAACAAAAACAGAGTGTACAGGTGAAAATAAAGATATATTGTTTTGACTTAGATTTCCTCTATTTGCTAATTGGAAACTACACCAGTGTAAAAAGTCCTATAAATAAACAAGGTCCTAGTAGACAAGGATACAAACAGAAATTGATGAGTAAAGACAGAGGTAAAAAGAATTAAACTTTATATTTACTTAATCTTTATTTTATATAATAATATTTTTAAGGAAAAATGAAATAAGTAAAAATTTATATTATTCATCTTCATTTCACAACATTTAGTAATTTCTTTACTAAAAATATCATTTCAAATCATTTGTTAATGAAAATGTTATGAATAATGTCAATTAGCAGGAAATAATTTTAAACAGAACAATTGTAAATGATTTACTATTTCTTAACTTGTATAAAATAATAAAAGTGATTTTAAAATCAAATTAATTCAAAATGTTTACACATTTTAAAATTCTGAGTATGTCTATGATATCTAAATATCCCAAGAACCTGATATATTAATAATCATCCAATTATCAGTCAAATTAATCAGGCAGAAATTATGCTACAAATATTAATTAAAAATTACATGATTAAAACAAGTACAAGCACACGTTAGGCACCATCTTTTGGTTATATCTAAAGTTTAACTGTGTCTGAAAGGAAAGAATTGCTCGGAGGTTTGGGTGGTGTAACTGGTCGGCACACTGTACAGTAAGTAGAGGTTGCAGGTTTGACTCCAGCTCTGGGCCAATGTTTTCTTTCAGACTATTCTAAATTTAAAATTAAATTATAGTTACTACTTTTGTTAAAAGATGGCCCCTAACATCTACCTTTACTTGTTCTAATCATATAATTTCTAATTAATATTTATAGCATAACTTCTCCCTGATTAATTTGGCTGATGGTTGGATGAATGTGTCTACAATATCATGTAATGATATCAATTATTATCATTTGGTCATTTGAAATTGTCCAAAATTCATTTCAATAATAATATCAATTAGAGGATATTTAGTAAAATTAATCTAATTTTGTGAAAAGATAAAATGATAAAAGTAAACCTTTGACTTGAAAGATTAAATCATGATCCACACAAGTTGAAAACCATATAAATCAAATGGTGTTAAATACAATGTATTTTTAAGATAATATTATACAGTATATTCATTTCAAAGGATAATTAAACAGCTTCTGCTTGTGAAAAGAAAACTGATAAAATAAAAACATTTTATTTTTCAGTTTTCTCATTATTATTTTCATTATTTATATCATTGATAAAAGTAAGTCAAAGGTATTTTAAATTAACCTTGTATCTACAAATCTGTATAATCAGATGCAAACAAGTTGATTATGTGTAACTCTAATAAAAAAGTATTTAGTAAACAGATTATTTTCAAGGTAGTGGAAAAAAATGAATATTCATGTTAACAAATACACTTGCTACCACATATTTTATAATTTGGATTTTGGATGATTTATTAATGACATTAAGGTATTTGTTATATATAAATAAATTAGTATGAGCTATATACAGGATGGTCCTACAGTCTGTGTTTCATTTTGTCACACTTCAATAACTAAATTATATGCAAATGTTCAACTATGCAGTAAATAATATTTGAGAGCTTTACTTTTAAAGTTATTTTACATAATAATTTTATCACCGAAACTAATTTATTTTATATATAGATCCCATTAGTGACCCTAAATTGTGACAATCAAAGCAAAAGTAAACTGTATGCTTTCATTTGCATAATTAAAACCAAATTATATTAAGCATGCCACAATGAACAGAATACTTCTTTTAAAAGAATACTTCTTATTACAGTAGTCCCTCTTCAGTTCTTTTAAAAGTTATTATATTGCTCATTTGGATATATCATGCTGTTTTTAGTCTTCCAAATATAAAAACACTTTAGTCAATAATTTTAAAAAAATTACATGCCATTGAATTTCTACTGGCAAAGGAAATATTACAATATTCCAATCCTCAATCTTTAAAATACCATTGTATGAAATGCAACCCCCTAAAAAGCAAGGAGATTGAAAATAAACAAAACAGGTGAATGGATACTTTAGTTATATTGCACCATCTAATATATCACTCATTTTGCTTGTCTCCAACATGCACCATATAATGGAGGCTCCCTTATTAATTCTACAAGTTAACATACAGCATACAGTTTCTCTTCAACTGTCAGCATTAATGAGATTTGTAAATAAAATAAATTCATTCAATATTGAGAAATATTTAAAAAACTTGTGGATGTAAAAGTATTTTACATTTGTAATTTTCACAAAAATTGTACATATAAAAATTTTTTTAAAATAAAACTCAAATATTATACATACTACAGTTTTAACATCTGTGAATAATTTAGTTACTGAAGTATAAAATTGCACATGGATTTTAGGACCATCCTGTATTTATTAAATTTCATGTTAAGCAAACAAGTTCTCATAAGATACTGCACATTCTAGCTAGAGATGTATTTTCTATTTATATCATCTAATTATTACTACCCTTTGAACAGTAATGAAGATTTACTATATTATATTTTTATTGTTTCTATTTTAGATTAATTCAGTAAATTGTTAAAATAATAAAACGATGTCTATGATATGTATATATTATGTCCATTAATAAATCCTCAGATAAATAAATAAACAAAAAATTACTGATTAATAGTTCCACTAATCTTTAGAAAATGTACTGAACACTGTATATTAAATTAACTTATAGTCTGATATTTGTTGAAGATATTGTAAACTAAGCAACAATTAATAAAATATGTAGACAGTCAAGATATAGATCATTTTCTATATTTTGAATATCTCTTGATTTTTAACATATTATTATATAATAATTATACTTACAGAATAAAGTTGCAAGATAAGTTGCTTTAGAAAGTATTCGTTCAAACATTTTTTTATTTGCCTTTTCAATGACATCATTCAAATCTAGACTCTCAGGACTTGTTAACCAATGTAAAATTGCATTTTCATTTTTCATATCACCTAAAAATAAAATAATTACTTTATATTATAAATGTTATTTTTTATATAAGAAAATAATTAAGTCATTAAAAACAGTAAAGAACTTTAATATAATATTTTAAAATAATTTTGATAATCACAGCATTTATTAGTAGTAATATTGAATAAAATATAAAGTACATAAAATCTTAGGATAATCTATAGGATATTTGTAAATACTTTAAGCATTACTATAAATAATTGTTTTTATTTTTCAGCAATTAAATATTTTTAACATAGACATAACATATAAATTGTTAGTTGATAAAAATAAAAACAAATAACAGTATCTTGGTTAATGGATTGATAGGATAAAGGAACAAAATATGTGGGTAATCTGCCAAACAAATGCCTCCTGGAAGTTGGTGAGACATGACCCTGCAACTAACTACCAGTGTACAGTGGTTTTGTCCATTTGATAATGGTGGGCACCATTTTGATTAATGAGAATAAGAAACAGGAAAAATTACTATTCCTACATGTAAAAGTTCCAGGTTCATAAAAGTAATAAGAGAAATCATAAAATTATTTTTAAAATGAAACTTCTGAAAAAACTAATTTATAAAAGAAAATATATTATTGTATATTTACATATTATATTTTCAATTACATGTCTCAAATTATATTTACTGAACTACCTTGAACAATTCTTATTAAAAAAATTCAAAGTTTAGAACATTTAATTGCTGAAAGATTGCTGAATATTTAAACAAAATATTGCTAGATAGAAACTATCATAACAATTTAAATAAATAGTCATGAAGTTCAGCTGTTAAACTAGAGAGATCGACATTCAAAATATATAGTGAAGAACTGCAGAAAATCCAGAGTTTGACAACAATAAGATTATGACACAATAACTTTGTTTCCAAGTTTAAGAAATTTTTGGATAATTTTTTGTATTACATCTTCATCTTTCACAATATTACCTAATTAGTGCTTTCTCACAACACCGGATTGTATATACTTCAAACCAACAACTACCTACAATTAACCATTAACCGGTGCGAAATTCTTTAAAATCGGCGAACATTTTCGATTCCCCTCCTGGGATCTTCTTCAGGCTTATTTCTTTATAGCTTTCGTTATAACCGGATTCTTTAATTCGAATNTTGTGAAGCTGTTTTATGAAAACAATGCTGTGGCTACACTTTGGGAATTTCGTTGTCATAAGAATGTATGCCAAGAATCATGACTTCACAAGCTCTCAGGAGAATATTTATTCAATAGAAAACTGACATTTAGGAGTAATAAGTTTGTGTCCACTATGGTTGAGGACACAAACTTATCACTTTACAAGTCATTGAATAATTAACAAATAATGTTGCAGGCACCAATAGTGTACATGCAATGCCATAGCAGTTGAATTTATTTTATAATACAGTGTAGAAAGTACTGAGAATGTTGGTTCCTTGCTGCCAACATGGAAATCTGACTGACTTTTTCATTGACCTTTCTTTTCAGAATGAAATTGAATGTGTCATGGAGACATGAAAGATCCTGTGGAACAATGAGGCATATTTTTACCTCGGTAAAACAGTGAACACCCATAATTGTTGTATTCAGAGCAGAAAAACACTCACAATTTCCAGTAGATTCCTAAAGTTACAGTTTGATGTGGATTCATAGCCATATTATTCCTTGAATCATTTTTGGAAGAAGCTAATCCTAATGAATTTGACATGCTATATGATAGCAAAGATACCAAGAGATGCTCAAAACTTTTGTTGTACTCCAAATGCAACAGTGGTAATGTCTTGAGACAACCATTTCATGTCTTTATTAAAGTCTGAAATGATGGATGCATCTACATATCAGATGTTGCATACAGCAGTTTCTGAAACAATATTTTGCTGATAACAGCAATTCCTACTGTCTTACTGTGTTTCCTACTGCCTAGCTATCTCATTCTCCAGATCTTAATCTGTGTGAATTTGTAGGATACTTAAAGTATGGACATGTTGCAAATTTGACAGTCTTAAAAGACAGTATCACACTGCAAGTGAGAAGCATCAGAGTGAATCAGTTTTGGATATCATTAAATGCACTGTTCACTGCCGTCATATTTTATACCTTCAGAAAGAAAAGTACAGTAGAGCATTGATTATCCGACCCCTGATTAACCATCACCTTGGTTAACTGACCGTGTTCTAGTCGGCAAATTCAAATGTCCGCTAGTGATGTGGCGTACAATATTTGGCTATGTCTTGGCTACTTTAATATTATTTTTACGTGTTATAGCTGGCAACACTGGCTCGACCATGGAAGGGAGGCCAGTATTTAAACGAGACTTAATTTTCTAATTTTTAACGATACAATAGCGACGATTATTATTTAAAAAAAAAATTTGATAGGCTTAACATGAAGGAAAATTCAACATGAAGTAGGTTAATAGCGATATACTAATATACTAATTACATGGGATGTAATAATATACTACACTAATAATGGATTTTTTCATACTTTTCGGTTATCTGACTTTTCAATTATCCGACCAACCCCAGTCGAGTCGGATAATCGATGTTCTACTGTATTCTCTGCATTACGATCTGTATAGCATAACTGGCCCATGAGTGGCCAAGCAGTTCTATTCCCTGAACACTGGGAATTTGGTCATTGGTTCGCACCTTACCAGGATGGGCTGGCCACATGGAGTTTTCCAGATATTCTCCATATCTGTAATGCCTGAATAGGGACTAGTTTTAGTTACCCTTAGAAAGATCTGGAAGGCATCATCCTGGGAAGATTACCCAAGTGTTGTTGCCGTAACTTAAAAAAAGTAAAAAGATATTGTACAGATAAAATAATTGTTGCAGGACTGCTAAGTATCTCTCTAGACAGTGGTGAGTAAAGATATTTTAATTATGATCTCAGTATTTATATCAAATTTTTGAAGTTTATTAAAATACTAAAATATAGATAAATAAATAAATATATATATATATATAGCATATTAAGCAATATAAAGTAATTAACATTTATTAAACATTATATTTTGCAATACATGTTTATAAAATATTTTAAAAAGCAGAAAAAATAAACTATAGTTAAGAATGTGCATATACTAAAATAAAATCAATACTTACCTTTAGAGCTGTCTGCATTACTACGGCAGTGGCATAACTTAAACCCCTAGAACCAAGTTGAAGCATAGTAGCATAGCCTTGGTCCCGTGCCTTAGCAATGTAGTCATCTATTTCCTAAATTAAATTTTTAATAATTTATAGTTTGTTTTTAATATTACATAGTGTATCTGAACTAATTATTATATGGATCGTTAGGATTAATGGGGTTGTATATATAAAAATAATAAAAAAGGTAAGTCAAAAAAGTGTTTAGAAATATGATGTGTTTTTAAACATTAATTTACAGTTTCTTGTTTTTAGCTAAAATGTTTAATGGAAAAACAAATAAAATTGATTCAGATGCACTGCAATATATAATTCATTTACTTTGAAAAATTAGCAGAAACAGGAATAATTTATTGTATTTTTAGTACTGATATATGAAGTTTGTACTATCTCTTGACAGTTTGTGTCATTAGACATTACAATATGAATCATCAATGACTTTGTGATTTAAATTAGATTTCAATGTGCACATGAAATAAACATTTCAATTAAGATATCCAGCCTGTTAAGCTAACTTTTCCAAATTTTTTCATTATTTGTTAAAATGTAGTAATATATAATTTGCATAAAAGTTAGGGCCAATCTCAGATAGTGGATCATATGAAAACTTTTCCTAGACATTGCAAATCAGGTCCTGTGCCTCCCAGAATAACTTTAATGAGAATAAAATATTAAAATTTGAAATAAAGCCACTGAAATTATAAGCAATATAATTATGAGCAGTGCTCTTTTTTAAAAAACATTATTGATGGTATGCATATATAGTGAGTAAAAATAAAGTTCTGTTTTAAGGAAAAATGTAAATAACTAAAAAGATTATCAATCTTTAATGGATGTTTTGATTATAAATTGAAAACTAATTAAGTTATTTTTTTCCTTTCTTTTTTCATGATTTTTAACATTTTTAACAATATCAAAAACTAGATGAAATTTAAAGCTTAGTACTAAGCTAATGAATATATAGCATTAAATGTTTATGCTCTTTGCTTGAACTGATCTGATAAACTGCAAAAATCAGATACCGATCACACTACACTGCTATTTCTTCATGCACTGCTGAAGAGGTGTTGCTAATTTATTAATTTGTTGTTTTATGTTCTTGCATAGCAACATGTTCCCAGTTGCAGCTGTTGTCATCTCTAACTTTGAAGTTTCATGTGTCAAAATTATTACACTATTGTTTGCCCTCTTAATTTTTAATGGCACTTTTCTGATTTTCTATTGAGCTTGCCTTGTACAAAAATTTCAGAAAACAGTATGAATGCTATGATATAAATGTACTCATTTATATCATAGCATTCGTTGATTCAAGGAAGTGCATTGATGCACAACAGTACATTTAATTAAACAAAATGATTAAAATTAATTACTGCTGTATTAGTTATGCAAAATTAACAAAACTTTGCAAGCTAATAAAAATTCTCTTCTTTTATGTCATTCTACAAAAATAATTTTTAAAAATTATAGTTTATGATAATTAAAGAGATTCTTATAATGGTATTGTTTGTTATGGTGAAGAACTGGAGCAGAAAGCATTTGTGTGGTATTGGCATAGAAAGCAGAACAAGAAAATTTTCAGCAAATTATAAAAGATTTCATTATATACTAAATAGAACAGTTGGAATGCTAAAAGAAGGGAAGTTTGTAGCATACTTAGAGTTGGCACCACAAAGTTTCTTTGCTTTGTTCTAGAATAACATTAATGAGTCTATGTTATTCCTTGCTCCTACAACTGTAATAACTTTATTACAGTTTGTAGGAGCAAGGAATAACATAACAACATAGTATTGTATATATATATATATATATATATATATATAAATAAAACACATGTAATAACTTTATTTCTTACAATGCAATTTCCTAAAACTTCACACACAATAGTATTAAGCATTATTTTGAACAGTTTAAACCGAACACAGAGTTTGTTTTTATTTAATTTAATAAGTGTTCTTCTTTTTATTATTAATTATCAAATGCAAATAAAAAGTTGTATTAATTGTAAATAGTTTTGTTATAAAACAAAATTTAACATAATTTCACAATTAGCTAATTAATGATTTTAATAAATCTTTACAATATTTGCATTCTATTTAATGTAAGAAAATAATTTTAAAATTGAATGATAAATAACTGGATACCAAATAACAAATATCTAAATTTTTTATAATATAAATACAAAATTTACCATGATATATGCTTGGAATTTTATCTTCAAAATAAACAAGAGTTGGAAGACTGGTAACACCAAAATCTTTTGCCAGTTTTATGTCATCTGTTTTTACAAAATGAATTCCATGACGATCAGTATCATCATCAATTTTCTCCAATTCTTGTAAGAAAATTTCACATTCATGGCAATTCCTTTCATCTGATGTAATATAATAATAATTATATTTCTATTATAAAATATCTTCCATAAAAAGTTTGCTTCCCTATCTTAATAAAATATTAACAATTAGAACTTACAGAAATAAACTACCAGATTTTCAACATCATCAATTAAAACATCTAGCATCTTTTTATCAACATATTCAATAACATCATCTTTCTGATGTTTATTATCCAGAAGCCATTTCAGTACTTGCTCTTCATTCTTCAAGTCTCCTACAATTAATAAAATATGAATAAAATATAAGAAATTAATTCTATTTTTTATCTCTGTCCTTAATGTTTTACTTTTTCATTTTTATATTGTCTACTTGGACTTTGTTTATAAATAGGACTTATTATACTGGTGTAGTTTCTGATTAGCAGAGAGGACCAGTATAATAAGTCCTATTTATAAACAAAGTGCAAGTAGAGAATATAACAACAAAAAAGTAAAATACAACAAAGTAGATTAAATGAAAATATCAAATTTTAATACTTATAAATATTAAAATTTCATACTATAAAAATGATTTTGATCAGCAAAATCTGGTGAATATACATATGTTGATTTTAACAAATTCCTAACAATAAAAGAATTCAACTCGTATCTATAAACCTTTTACCGGTGCACGTATCATCACACTCTACAACAGTTACAAACTTTTCGAACCGTTACGGTTTTTCTTCAGGTAACGATCCCCTAACGGAATGCGGTTCAAAATTGTTATGAAATACGATCCAAAACGATGTTCGTACGTGCACCGGTAAAAGGTTTATAGATACAAGTTGGATTACAGTAATATGGTGCAGATATCCCACCATTTTTTGAATAAAAGAATTTACAGTGGGAAACTTTTTACAATTATTTTTTATATAATTCAACATTGGAAGCTGAAAAAAAGCACTTACAGTTTCAAATATCTTAATAAAATTAAAATATTAGCTTAGTCAAATGAATAAAATAATAATAATTATGTATAGCATACTCCAGAAGAGCTGTAGCTGTTATATAATGATATTGTTTCTATTGAAAAGTGAAATATGAATTGATGCAATGGTTAGAGGTAGATGTTAGGTGCCATCTCTTATTGAAAGCAGGAACTATAAACAGTGGTACTTCCACTTGTGTGAATTAAGTTATTTTAGAAAAATGGAATTAACACTTGACTATAGGTTCTCAGTTGCTGATGGATATGTACGAGTGCATTAATATTACATATTTGTAAACAATATATACTTCATTTTATTATGGAGATGCAGCTGTCTTTGATCAGTTATAACTATTGAAAGGTAGCAAGATGAATTTCACTATTGAATATGATGTCAAAATACAGTACTTGACATACAATATTCTAATGTAGTGCTACTGTAGAAAACATTCAGCAAAAAAGTATTTAACTAATCCAAAACTTCTGAGTTTTCTATATACTATGAATTAGTATATAATTAATTATTATTTATTTTGAATTATTTCAAGCAAATTTGAAATGTAAAAAAAGCTATCCTATAATCAGTTGTCTCATTATAACTATTATCATTTTTTACTTTTTCTGATTATTACTCCTAAAACAATCTCTCAATAAGTGAATTCTTTTATTTCTCAAATACTATTTCAATTATATAACTGCAGTTAAATTCCTTTATGGAGATAAATATAAAAATATAAAGCATTCTTTAGTAAAGGAATAGTATTAATAATATTTTTCTGACTAAGTAATTATATAAAATGGTGCAACTGGAATCTGTCACCCAGGATAAACTAAGATTCTGGTGCCACTTCTCTTGTTCCAGAGATTTGGGACATTAACTCTTTCCGCCATGTGAGCATTAAGAGAGCCTCGTTTAGCATGCCCATTATAGGTTCGACCAAGCCCACAATGGAGCAACCGGATGGTGAGGGACTGGGACCGACATATCCGGACGAACCACCCCTAAAAAATAAATTCCTAGGGTTTCGGTGGTGGGATCCACCCAAACCGCTCGACCATTCGGCCGTCAATTGGTTAACAAGTAAGAGTGTAATTTCAGAAGAGCGTAAAGTAAGGCTTTTTCGACGGTTTCTTTGAAATTTGAGTTGCTTGTTTGGATCATTTTGAATGTTATAACCTATCATCACATCGTTTCTTGTTAATATCAGTCGTCTTTTGTCGAACGTGCGTGCATACCCAATTTGCATAGTCGGCATGGACAACTTGTCGCTTCTTGTTTTTTGTTTGTTGTTTATCAACGCGCTCTTTTATTTGCTTTATTTAGCAGCTAACTTTAGAAGAACAGAAGCGATATATGTTTGTTTTACCATCCAATGTATATACTTTGTCCTTCTGATCAGCCAGAGTCTGTCTTAGTTTGGGAAATATTACTAAAATCCACGATCAAACTTGATGGTCTCTTTACCAAGAAAGAAAGTGTGTTTAATGTGATCTGGGGGTAAGTTATTATTCCCCTGTCTGAGGACACATGCTTTAATGTCCTGATTGGGCTCTTTGATAAAATTATTCTTGGATCCTTAAGGACTGGTTTTTTGATAGCTACTTCTTTTCTTTAATTCTTCGGATAACTTTGATGCTCCCTCGGGATTGCTGCAGCCTATTGTGTAGGCATTTTTTATTTTTCATATAGTGTTGATTCCTACTCCAATTGTCGAGGGATCATTTTTTTTTATTTGCTCCATCACTTCGTCTGCATTGTTCTTTTCTGTTGGATCAACTAACACCACTCTATCATTGGTAGGACGTAAAGGTCTTTTAACAGCATCTGCATAGGTCTGTTTTTTGGGTGTTGGGCAGCATGCATAGTCTGTTTTTTGGGTGTTTTTTGTGGGGTTGGCTGGCTTGCACGAGCTAAAGTCCTGTCGGATTCCTCGAGTTTTTGTTGGAGTGTTCTGTTTTGGTCGATGACCATACAGTAAGCCATTTTTAACCTGTCGAATAAGAACTCTGCCTCTGCCAGATTGTAGCAGGCCTTGTCTTTTAATACTTTGCTGAAATTTCGACTCTGTTCCAGGGTCGACTTGGCACTCTGAATCCAAACAAATGGCCGATGACAGTCATTGATTGTCATTGGCCGTTGATTGTCATGGAATCAGTTCACAACTGACAGTCCATCTCCCCTTACACAGTCTTTTCACTCAACATACATTCTTATCTGGCACCAATCATTTATCCCTTCAAATTTATTTTTGAAATAATTTTCTAAACAATTCAAGTAATTGCACACCCTCTCCTCTTGGCATCCCTTTACCTGGCACCTGGGACGGTGCCAGGTAAAGGGATGCCTTCCTTATATCCTATTTGTTTTTCAGATTTCTAGAGACTTCATTTAGATTTCCATTTCACATACTGCATTTTATTTGATTATCTAATTATACAGGATCCACATCACTAGCTTGAATAAATTTACAATTGAAAAATTTCTGTATTAAGCAAGACATTAAAAAACATGCAAAAACTGTCAAAGATAAGTAATTTAACACATTACATTTGTGACATATGATATAGTTTTAATATAATAATAAATATAACAGCATTAATTACAATGAAATAAAATTATATTTAAAATTTATAAAGTAAATGTTATAAATTACCATCATAAAACTGAGGAAACCTTTTTCGAAAAAAGACCAAAGTTGGAAATGTTAAAATGCTAAATTCTTTAGCTACAGACAAATCTGTGACTTTAACAAAATCTATGTCATTGGCTTCTGCATCATCATCAATATTTTCTAATTCCTTCAGAACAATTTCACATTCTTCACACTGATCTTTATCTAATAGAAAAAAATTAATTCTATTTAAAAATTTTTTTAATTGAAGAGTGACAAATTATAAAACAATAAAAGATCAATAATTTAAATGTATTGATTTGTTCAATATAGAATTTGCCTCATGATTAATACTTGTATTTGAAACCTTAAAGAGAATTCTGTATTAAATGGAAAAATTCTGTATTTATGCTAAGAATAATTTTACTTTATTCTGTAAATATAAATCTATTTATAAAATCAAATATTTTATAATTTTGAAAAAATTTCAAAATTTCTTATGGACGAATTCTATGAGTGTCCTTTTTGTCCCTTCATACACCAATAGAAAATATTTCCTATTGGTGTATGAAGGGACATTGGGCTATATTAAGGATAATTAATTAATCTTAATAAAGCCCAATAAAAATCTGGCAGATTATTTGGTATTATTAATGTACTGGGTTATGTATGTTGTTATATAATTAAAATAAATACATTTTATTTTTCTACAGGAGTGTAAGAACTGTACCATCATTACATAATAAGTTTTAAGTATAAAAAAATAACTTTTTTTATATTAATGTCACTCTGAATAATATAATGTCACAAGATTTTGTTTACATGTGTTCCAGGTTAAAGGTCAATGGAAAGTAAGAACAAAAAAGTGAGGATGAACAATAGCACTCTCTTATGATAGAAAAAACTAATTATGCCTATGCTTCAGCATTACATATTAACAAAGTTTACCATTTAAAGTTGTAACAAGATGATATCATAACGTAAAAATACCAACTCTAAAACTTTCTTTATTCAAATGTTTTCAATTGTCCTAAATGATCTTCAAGGAAAACTTTTTCCTGAAGATCATTTGAATAAAGAAAGTTTTACTGTGTTAGATAGTTTTAGAGTTGGTACTTGTATATGTGCAGTATAATAAATCGTAAGATAGATTACAATGTAATGCTAAAACAAACAAACAAATAAAGAGAACAAACAAATAATTTGTTTAAGCAAACAAACAACGGCAAATTGTTGAAAGGTCGAAGAAATGACAATTGCCCTTTGTATTTGTATCTAACATGCAGAGAAGAAGAAGTTTTTGTTTGTTTCATTAAATTATGGCAATGCATCACCCCAAGTGTTATATCGCCATAACTTAGCAAAACAAACAAATACCTTCTTGTCTAAAGACAGAGAAGATGTTAAGGTAACAATGAAGAAATTCAAATGACAATCATAAAAGGAAATAAATTACCTTAATTTTGTATCTCTAAACAAATACAGAACAATACAAGAGCACCATAATAGTTTTTAATATATCCTCTATTTGCTCAAATGCAAAGTTGTGTTCTACAGATATACTGCACTGTATGCTGTGCCAGTGTATATGTTTAGAGATACCAAGTAAAGGTATTTTTCTCTTTTATGATTGGCATTTGAATTCCTTCACTGGGCTGCAATTTGAAAAAAAAATGTACACCTATAAATTTCCACTGTAATCTGTCTGTCAGTCCTTCCTTAACCTTGAGAACAGAGTTAGATAGACAAAATCTGACAACAGATATGGAAAACTTAGGGTCAGGAGGCTTGATTAACTATATACAAACTTCTGATGAAAACCAGAAGTCATGTTATTTCAATTTGAAAACTTTCCCCTGAAAGGAGTTAGATAGATGACAGGCATGACTCTATTGTTAAAGGAAAAGTATGATGTACAGGAGCAAGACACTAGTAATTTCAGATAGAGAGCATATATTTTAAATTAAATAAATTAAAAATATGATTAAAAATTGCAGCACAGCATTGTGACAATGTCAATAAATAATTGCTCATTACCTTGACAATTTCTATGTACTTTGTTCAAGCATTATACTGTAGCCTACCTTGTCATATAATTCTGTCACAACTTTAAGCAGTACACCCTGTATATCAAAGTAGTTATAACCATATTTTATTAATAGGTATGGAAAAACCTCTCAATTATAAGCTTCAAAATTCATAAAGTAATCAAGGATCACTTTGTTCTCCTCTTTAATCTTTGTCTCTCTTTTATTATCAAAAGAAAATAACTTAAACTCTATAAATGAAGTAGAAAAGGAAATCAGATATATTAACAATTAAACTACAGTCAAACCTCAGCTTTCAAATACCTCGCTTTTTGAACAATTCAGTTTATGAACAAAATTTTGAACATCAATCATATTTGCTCTGGTTGTCGTACGATAACTCAGATAACAAGCTACTCAGCAAGAGCCGGCCACAATACTCAAGTTCAGATACTTCCTATGTTAAAGAAAATTGATGGCCTGACCAACCAACAATAGGACTACCAATTCAGAAGTTAATGGCTCTGAAATCGCCAGGCATCATTAGACATTACAACACAAATTATTGATGACGTTATTCAAATTAGATTTCAATGTGCACATGGGTAAGATACTACTTCCATTTTTCGGTATGCATCACAGTTGAATTTAAATGAAATTAATTAACAAAAACCATGTTAATTGACATTCGCATGATATAAACAACATCCACAAATCCATGTCTAAAGGTGCTTAACTCAAATTAAATAACAAAAATTTAATTTAATATTTATTAATACTAGGTAGCAAGTTAATTAAAACTAAAAATAATGAAATAATAATTAAAACTCTGGTTTTTATACTGAAACTAAAAAATAAAATCAAAATTAATTAATTAATTTCAATTAAAATTTAAATCAAAGCAACTGAAACATATTTTCAAATGTGTGGGTAAAGTACTTGTTGTCTGTCTTGATTGATTTGGTTATATTTCATCCAGGCAGATTTGAGTCTTTATAGCACATTTTTGTAAAGTGTTAGTTTTGATTTTGGTTGTCAGTGATAAAACGTTTTGCTTTTAATATATATATATAATAGATATAAATATAGGTAACATTATATTATAAATAACATATTGCACTTGTAGGCAATTTTATGCATGAAATGCTGCTAAAAAGGTAAAAAAAAAAAAAAAAAAAAAAAAGGCATTGTTTTGGGGGTTGGGAATGGATTAATCCATTTTATATCATTTCCTATGGGAAAATTTGTTTCGGTTTGAGAACAAATCAGTTTTCAAACAACTTTTAGGAACAAATTAAGTTTGAAATCTCAGGTTTGACTGTACATGTAACTTTATAAAAAAATCTTATTAGCATAGATTAAATACAAACGATAAATATATTAAATTTTATAAATTTAAATTCTATATTACATTTGTAGCTATAGCTATCTACAATTACAAATAATCTATAAACTGTTAAAACTGTACAGTGTATAGATAATACACTGTACAGATAATACACAGTTTTAATAATGTATGAAAAATTAAAGTACTTACAGAAAAGAATTGCTAAATAATCAGATGAATCAATCATATTTTCAAGCATTTGTTTATTGACAAGATCTATCTGATCAGGATTATCTAAGACATCTTCACTCGTAACCCATTTCAAAATTTTCTCTTCATCCATCAAATCATCTGTATCAAATTTTCAAAAAACTATTTAAATATTAATTTTAATTGATTTTTAATTTATATTAAAATTTAAAAATTATAGAATTAATGGAAAATTATTTTAAATAGGAAAAAATTTATATTTACCATGGGTAATATGAATTTTGTAAGAAAATAAATTATAAAAATTGTGTGTATGGTATTAAAATTCGTGGAATGCTATTTAAATAATATCTTGTCTTAAAAACATTAGAATTATATTTGAATTAAATATTTTTAAAATATTTTAAATATTTTTAAAATAATATTTTATGTATATGATTTAATTATGATTATTAATGTATTTAGAAAATTAAGTGCATTTAAAATAATTTAATGTAAGAAAACTGTCACAATTTATATTACATTATTAATAATTTGTGTAAAAATTTATTATTTATTTTAAAATAAAATGTTAGCTATTGAATGCTCTATTATATCATTATAAACAGGGCTGGGGAGAGGAAACTGAGACTGTAGCTCTGAGGCTTGGATTTATATAGGGACTTGAACTGGAATCAATACAAGTTTTAATTATGAAATCTAGAAATTCAACTGATTTAATTTCAAATGCATAGAAGAAAAAAATAGAAATGTAGTAATCAAGGGCCCACTATTGTTTCTCCATAGCCCTAATTATAAATATCAGAACTGTCACCATATTTATAAAGAATTAGATTGAAGACTAAATACTTCTGACAGATAAAAGAAACTAAATTAAATAGTTTCAATTAACATGAAAGTTAAAAATTTAATAATGTTCACAAAATACACACATTTTTCAAAATTAATGATAAAATAATCTAAAAAATTTTCAAAATAATAAAAATATATATACAAAAAATATAAATTATTAAAATAGTTCTAACAATCTTATTTAATTTTTAAATAATTTTATTTAAAAATTAAATAATTACAAAACCAGAACTTTTAAAAAGAAAAACACAATAAATACAAAAATTATATTCAACTAAAATTCAAATAACAATTTTTAATTAATACAATTTAATTCAATAAGGTTCAAAAATATGTATTTTTGAACAAAACAAAACTAATGATGTGCAAAAAAATAAATAAAAATATTCTCAAAAATTAATACAGTAATAATAAATTTATTTCATAAAATACAATTATTTTTTTACATTTTCTTATTTAAATGAAAAAGTAGTTTCATTTATGAATACAGTGGTACCTCAGGATATGAATGCCCTAGCATACGAAATTTTCAGGATACGACATGAAATTCGAACATATTTTTGCTCCACGATACAAACAAAAACTCACCATACGACATTACATTAGTTCGCAGTGCCATTTTTTATTCACTTCTGTTCATCGGTCTCAGTCCAAGTGTTTGCTTCATTGTGGAAGGATCTCGCTCGATAAAGGAAATCTTGAGGTATTATCAGAAAGTGACTGATTTTATTGAAAAGAAACATCCCAAAAAGATTCACACTGGCCATATTGCTGCTCGGAGTAATGACATTTGCCTAAGTAATTTTAGAAACATTTTAAAAAGTAGGCAAAGCCAAACCTCTTTGGATAGATATTTTACCAAGCGACCTCTATCCAGTGAAAGTGCTGGTGGAAGTGAAGGAAAGAAAACAAAAAAGCAGTGAATAAAAAATTTAAAAAAAAATATGGAACAGAAAAGATTAAAAAATTAGTGTTAAGTTATTTTTAAGTTATTGTTACATTATGTTATGTAAGTTAAGTTTTAGTATCATTTCCCTTCTCCCTCTCCTCCGCCACCAGTTTACACCTCCACCATTGTCTATCCTCAAAAGTAAAGTGCAAATAAAACTACATTTTTTTTTATCAATTATTATTCTATTATGGTTATTTATACATTTACAACACAACACATTTTTCAGTATTTTCCTTACTATAGTTTTTTTTTTAATGTACAACTTAGCTTTAAGTTGAGTGTGTTTTTCATGTTGGAACGAATTATTTGGTTTTACATGTAATCATATGGGGAAAAATGATTCACCTTACGACATTTTCATGATAAGATCTCAGTTTTGGAACGGATTAATTTCATATCCTGAGGTACCACTGTATTAAAAATCCATAAATAAAAACTTCTTTATTTTCAAAATTCAAAAATATAGTGAATCATAAATATCAAAAAAACAAATGGTAATAATTCAATAGGTACTTATTCATGTTAGATGAATAATAATATAAAATTATTCAAATTATACAAGAAATTTTTAACATTTTATTAGCATTCTTTTTTAGCATTTTATTAATATATAATTTAGTTTTTTCCATCATTGATATAATTTTAATAAATTTAGCATTTTTTTAATACACTACTTGTAATATTTATCATAAAAAATTATCACATCTTTAAATCCAGTGACAGTTGACTTTTATGAAAGAGAATTAGTATAAAATTGGATAATAAAAATTATCTATGTCTTTTTTATGTTCATTAGTTTCATTTTTATAATATAATTTACTGAGTTTCCTGTTTTTTTATTTGATACTAACATTTGATTATACAAACTTCAATATATCTACACTTTAATTTTTTTTTAATTTTTCTTAAACTTAGATATTAAGTATATAAATATTTTATTAACTAATGTAAATAAATTAACTATATTTATATGTATTAATTGAAATAGAGATTAAAAATTATTTTTTTGTAAATTATAAAAAAATAAATAGAATGAAAATGCTTTAATAATAATATTAATAATTTGAAAATGAAGTAACAATGTATTATTAAGTGTATGTTAATGTTATATATAATTAAAATTTTGATAAAATTTTTCATGAATTAGTTTTCAATTTATTATTTCTCCTCGGTTCAAGATGCATTTGTCATATTTTAATGTCTCTGAAATCAAGACACATCTCAGTTGATATCAGTTTGACAACTTCAGAATATCTCAACATTAATTTTCTAGCAAATTCTTTTTAATATTAGACAGTAATATTTTCGGACATTGTTTCTTTCTACTGTTTTTGTGAATTTTTATATTAATAAAATAGTATAATTGACTCTTATCTTTACATGAATTTCTTGACTTTGTTGCTGAATCAAACTTTCTCCATATCAACAGTGAAAAAGTCATATCATATCAAGACAACTTTCAAACTTCTTGGTCAAGATGTTAAGTTTATATGCTATTATTATCTACACTAAAACAACTTAAGCTAAGTAATTTTTAAAGAAAAATTGGCTTTGGGATGTTTATTGGAGGGCTGAAGGACTTGTAAAATCACTGTATTCCATTCACAAATAAAGTGAATGGGTTCAACTGATACATAAACAAGAAGACATATTTTACATTGTCAAGACTTCTTAATGTAACAAAAATCAAACTGATTTTAGAGCCATTTTTGACATTAAAAAATTGTTGCAGATTTTATATAATGACCAACTGAAGTCAAAGTTGTTTAACATATTCACAGATTATGAACAGGAAATTACAAGACGTGTCTACTATAACTTTTCAGTAATTGAACCCTATATTCAATAAAAAAAAATTAATTACCAGTTTGTTCTGACTACATTGCACATTTAAATTTAAATGTAATACAAAGAATAAAACAAAATAAAATTTACAAAAAATTGTTGTATTGTACATTGTTTTAATGTAAACTCTCTTTAGTTATGAATTTTACTGTGTTTTGTTCTTCTCATCCTAATTATATAGCTACTTAATGTATTAATTTGTGTCATCATAAAATTTGTATATAGTATAAAAGATGACAATTTATAACCTCAAAAATATTTTTTGCATGAAAGTTCATAAGAATTTAGGCATTTTAATATAAACTGTATTTATTTTAGTATTAGTTACACTTATAAATCCTTACACAGATTTTGTGATTTGTGATCATAACAGAGACAGAACTACAATGGTGCAAAGTGGTTCAACAGAACTGGAGTTAAACCACTTCACACCATCTGAACCCACAGGGGTCCCAAATGTTTCAAGAAAAAAGTCTCTGATTGTGGATCACAGGCTTTTTTCATTATTTTCATCACAGGTCAAAATTGATTATTTTTTCAGTCAAGGCCTAAAAGCATTTTTCAAGCTTGCAAGTTCCATCCTTTGCAGTGGTGGTAAGATTAGAGGAGGTAGGCCTACATTAGAAATTTCAAACTTGAAGTAAATCTACCCTGGATCATCATATCAGAGAAAGTTTGTCAGTACTCAGTGCTTTATGTATATAAGTCCCCATAAAATTTTAATTTTTTTTTAATGATCCTGGAATATAGTACAAATGTTACATATTAATTAAGGCAAGCATAAAAAAATTGCATTATATTCAAGCCAATTCAGTAATTAAATTACTTATACATTGCAATAAAAAATTTTAATGTTCAGTTATATAAAGTTAAACAAAACAAATTATATGAATTATAATTATTATTAATTATTTTCTTAAAAACAATGAAACAAAGAAAATTTAACTGAAAATTAGAAGAAAACAATTTTGAAATGACGATTGGTTAAAGGATTTTATTATTATATATAGAAACATTTTAATATTTATTTTAACAATGTTATTAGCAAGGACAAATAGGAATTTGAATCCAATTATATTTATGAGCTGTACTGTTTTTAAATACAAAAACAAACAACATAATCATAATCCTTTATTCTCTGTTTAAGGTGATATATCTCAAAACTGCACTAAATAAAATACACTGATAAAAATACAGATTTGCTTAAATTTATTTTTAAGATAAAGATAGCAGATAAATTAATTTTATCAGTCAATGCTTTCATATATACAAATGTAATTATAACATACAAATTGTGAATTTATGTTTAACATGTTATATTATAATTAATAAAAATTCATTTTAATTTCAAAACTATTTATTCAATTATAAATAATTTTGTACCTTTGAAATTTAACCAAAGAATATTTCAAAAATATCAAATGGTTATTAAATTAAAATTTCTTCAAATGAAAAACAATGCATATAAATGTAATTAAAAATAAGTTTTAAT